CCCCACCTCCACCACGTTACGCGGCAAGTTTACTACGGTAAACTTATGGTAAAAAACAGGTAGAGGTCGGACCTGGAGACTATAACAACTCCCAAAACTCCCTCCAGGTAAGATCCAGGTAAAGTATCCCACTGAATTATGTTTTGGTTATCTTTAAAAATTTAGTGAGCCAATTGGACATGAGTATAATCCTTCAGAAGCCGAGTTGGCTAGAATGTTAGATATATATAAATGTTTACCACCCAGAATGTGATGTTATGTGTCTATTGTTTGTGATGTTTGTGTTAATATATGAACATTTTGTCCAGAACTGGGTGATGAATAGCCTGAGCTTCCTCATCCCTTTGTGTATGAACAAATCCACAAGGGCCGTGATGAGGATTCGAACCTGCGTCCGGGAGCATCCCAATCAACCCATCCCAACCCTTTGTGTATATTTATGTCTCAATAAACGCATGTCAGTTTCAATTTCACTGTTGCAAATGAATGTTCTATGTTCTTAAAGTCTGAATTTTATTTTGGTATTTTGAGGTAGAGATGAATAGTGAATTTAATTTAGGACTTGGCTTTATTTTAATTTAATGGACGTGAATTTAATTTAGGACATTTAATGCTAGGACTTGGCTGTTGGTCAGTTAATGGTCAAAAGGTGTTATGATTACAACATCTAGCATTCTGTAGTATTATAGAACACGACGATGACATTTTAAATTTGAATATATTTAATGGTATATAAATATATTTAATGGTAACCACATCTGGTTGCATTTGTAAGGCACAGTTTGTAAGTTCACTCAGTTAGTTCGTAAGCTTACACAGTCAGCTTCTAGGCTCATTTGGTCAGCTTGTAAGCTCGCTCAGTTAACTTTTAAGCTCCCATAGCAATCACAAATACAGTGATTATAGTGCTAGTTTGTTATATAAAATTCAGAATCAAACAGTCTACTCAGAAATATTGGCTCAGGGAGGGTGTGTGTGGGGGAGGGGAGATCTAGGAAGGCATGTGGGAAAAGCCTGGACACAGGGTCACCTCAGGGTAGGTAATATTTGGTCAAAGGGGAATAGCGAAAGATCAACAGGTTTTGCCCAAATCTCAGTCCACTATACATCTGCCTATTATTTATAATTGAAGGGAGACTAGTCCTCATTCTTGTGCAAAGTAGATTCAATTACATAAACTGTAAAGAAAGTAAGACAATGTTATTTAACACAGACTGAGATCAAATAAAAACTCTTATTTAATATTAAAGGAAAATTGTGAGGTAATATGAGGATAACATCGATAAAGCAAATCAGTGTTCCAAATTATTCAGTCATTTAAGAAGACACATGTGAAGGCAAAAAATAATCAAAGGACAAAGGAAAATAATTAAGGACAAAATAATCATATTCGCTGCCTCGAGAGTGTATCTCAGGACCAATGGAAGAGGTCTTTGAGGAGTTTAATAAAAATTCTAAGGTTACAGAGACACATAATTAGTTCAGGGACTGTACCCCAAAATGCCTTTAGTTGCATTCTCAAAATAGATAGCTAAAGGTATATTTAAAGTCATAATGTACAAGATTCACGTCCTTTATATATATATATATATATATATATATATATATATATATATATATATATATATATATATATATATATATATATATATAAAGACAACAGTGACACTGGATTGTCAAAGATCAGTTACTTCCAGGTTACTATTCCAGACTTGCTACGCTAGAAGCTAATTACAGTTCAGCCCGTGCTTCCCTTTGATGCCAAGTACAATGCCCCTAAGCCTATTTAATATTTTAGTCATTGTATTGCTCCTCTGTCTATATATAATGACGGTTCCCTGTCCCTCTGTACCAATGAGACCGGAAATACCGTCGTTATAATACAAGGAAGGATCCTGCCTTAAGAGTGAAGAGTGGGCTGTGAATGAATGATCAGGCTTCCTCCTTCTAGGTAGGCTCAGTTGCTTATCATATTCCGTACCTCGATCTTGCTTATTCCCTCTTGCTTAAATGCTTAGATTTAGGAATGACCTGGGTAAATATTGGTTCTGTAAAAGGGTTGTTGATTTAAGGAACCAGTTACCGCGTAACATAATAGAAGTAGGCCACCTTGATTGTTTCAAGCGTAGGTTAGACATATGTATGAATAAGATTAGGTGGATATGAACATGAGCTACCTCGTATGGGCCAATAGACCTGCAGTTACCTTCATTCTTAAGTTCTTGTGTAGCTGATGAGTTCTTTAAAAACTTTTAATAAAAAAATATATCATTTCACCAGTAAAATCAGTAAGACAAAAGCTCCTCAATATTATCCAAGTGAGGTTCAAGTTAAAGTAATTTTATTGAGATGATAAAATACATCTCAAATGTATAGAGAAACTGAAGCTATTTCTACACTAGATTACTTGAACTAGAGGAATTTTTAGGGTGATATTAGTATTCCAATGGATAATGGCTTTGTATAGTGTACTGGTAAGCTTCTGAATTTGTAAAAAAGTATTTGTCAATAATTGTTCCAAGGCCCATTTCCTAACGCATGATTAACATGTATAAGACATGACTAGCATAAATGGGAAGACTTCAATGAGAACTTCTGCCTCGCCATTTCCTGTTTGGTATATCTAGAGTATATCTTTGGTATATATTCTATTCCCACTGAAGTCCCCTAAGACGACATTCTTTCGTCTCACCGAAGTTTTCCCCCTTTTATTCTGTTAACCTTTGCTTATTTATAAGCAATTATTCAAATACTCTTCCGCCAAAAAAAACAAGTTTGCCATTAATATGTTTTCTACTTCAAAGGTGTAAACTAATCCCGGATTTTCTCAACTAGTTCAGAGATGTGAATCAGTGGTAGAGTCCTTTTGGTAATATAGCTCACCGCTGGAAACACTAACCGTAACTGTCTCTATTTTCCGCTTGTTACAACTTGTAATAGAGTTGTTCTATCTTGGCTTAACGTGTTTATGACGTATTAGAACGTTGTTACAACTTGCTATATTGGTTGTTATAACTGGTTAGGAGGTGTTAAAACATGTTCGAACATTGTAGCAACGTCGTAGTTTCGGTGTGTGTTTGGCGGGACTCATCTTATCTCATGTTAACACTGTGGCAACATTATATCAGGGAATGAGCATTGTGTTATGGCACAGAGAAAATTTGTTAAAACTCCCAAAATGGTGAGTGAGAGATTAGATGAGGAATAGTTGAGTGATTACTTAGACAGTTGATGAGGAATTAGTTAAACAGATGGCGGAGAATTATTGAATTGTGCTTGAGGATTTAGTTGAATGGTGGACGAGAAATGAGTTGATTGGGTATACTTAACTGAGCAACTAAAAGTTGAAGACAACATCATAGAGCAGCGGGAGAGGCTGAGAAGTCCGTAGCAATGACATTTAGGACCCACCAAGGCACAACTGCAGATGTAAATAGCAAAAACTCTACACAGTGGTGCTAGAGAAGAGAGAGAACTTCCTTGAAGAACCAGAGTGGGGCAGTTGGCTGAACGAGACACGATAGTGGGAAGAGTTCGAAGATCTCGCAACACAGTGAGAAACAAGTACTCGAGAATGAATCGATTCTTATTTTGTTTAGTTTAGTGATGTCTTCTGACCTCAGACCCAATATGGCGGCTGCTGTAAAATCCGTCGGTTTTATTGCCCAGCTGAACAATTCTTTGAAGCGGTTTGCATTCAAAGCTTCAGGCTTCACTCAGTATGGCTGGTACTATGATGACTCTTTGTACGAGACGCCAGATGTCTTTGAAGCTTTGAAGCGGTTACCACAAAATATAAAGGATGGATAAAATTTCAGAATGCAACGTAGGGAGGCCTTATAGGGAGGCCTCGTAGCCTGGTGGATAGCGCGCAGGATTCGTAATTCTGTGGCGCGGGTTCGATTCCCGCACGAGGCAGAAACAAATGGGCAAAGTTTCTTTCACCCTGAATGCCCCTGTTACCTAGCAGTAAATAGGTACCTGGGTGTTAGTCAGCTGTCACGGGCTGCTTCCTGGGGGTGGAGGCCTGGTCGAGGACCGGGCCGCGGGGACACTAAAGCCCCGAAATCATCTCAAGATAACCTCAAGATAACGTGCAATTCAACTTTCCCTAGTAAAGAATATACTTCTCAAGGAGCAGTGGATTAGTTTTGAAGAGGACCGTGAGAAGAGACGTTATTTGCAACCATATCTTAAGGACAGAACACGAAACAATGGGTATAAATTGGATAAGATTAGATTTAGGAAAGACTTGGGTAAATACTGGTTCGGTAACAGGGTTGTTGATTTGTGGAACCAATTACCGCGTAACGTGGTGGAGGTGGGGTCCCTCGATTGTTTCAAGCGCGGGTTGGACCAGTATATGAGTGGGATTGGGTGGTTATAGATAGGAGCTGCCTCGTATGGGCCAATAGGCCTTCTGCAGTTACCTTTGTTCTTTTGTTCTTATGTTCTTAAGTGACCAGGGAACGGCAGGAACGTAAAGAGTGGCACAAGAAGTCAATATTATGTATCTCATCAAGAACATTATAACTTTAGATGTTTTCATATACAAACCTGAAATTCATGTATGGACTAAACATGAAGAGAAGTTGTCAATCTTTGTATAAAATGTAAATTTTTACAATAATTACTTTAAATGACCCACTAGGTGAATTTACTGAATGCATAGGCTGGGTATGAGAAGTAGAACTATCGAAACCGACCCCAGGTACATTCCGGGTAAACCCAAGCCAGGAGCCGGAATACCTGCTCTGTCATTACTTCATTTTTTTTGTTGCAGCTCCCAAATAAGTCTCATTATGACAGTTTTAGTTTAGTTCAATTATTATGCACCCCATACCCATCTTGTGGGCGATAGTGGAAAGGGTTACAGAGGCACATAATGGGCTCAGGGACTGAACCTCACTATGGCAAAAAGTTGATCCTCGAGTCCTGCTGTCTTGAGGTCTAAGCTGAGACCTTGGGATACCTTAACTCCGCTAGCTGCTGTACGTCGCTTTCTGGTCCCCGAGGTGCAGGAGCTCTCAAGGCCAGGGGGGAGGAGCGTTGAGGGCGTCCGTCTTCCTGACTCCCCCAGTCACCTGCCTCCTTCAAACAGGAAGACGGACGTCTCACCAGTGCGACGCCAGACACGCAGAGGGACGCTACCATCTCATCTACACTCCAGCTTTGATTAAGGTGGGTGGATTGTGTTGCATTTGTTTCATCCTGATCTAATTTAAATCATTTAGTCGTAGAAAACAATACAGTTTACTGCATGTGATTAGTATACGTATAGACGTTGATATAGTTAGTGGTTTGGTGAGAGTGGAGCTTATCTTTATGGTGGGTTACTTGTAAGCTTATTAAGTTAGCTTGTAAGTTTACTCAGTTAGCTTGTAAGCTTACACAGTCAGCTTCTAGGCTCATTTGGTCAGCTTGTAAGATCTCTCAGTCAACTTTTAAGCTCACATAGCAATCACAAATACAGTGTAATCACTGTTTACAGTGCTAGTTTGTTATGTAAAATTCAGAATCAAACAGTCTGCTCAGAAATATTGGCCAGAGTACAAGCATGAGCGCAGGTACAGATACAGGTACAGGCACAGGTACAAGTACAGATACAGGCACAGGTACATCTGAGAGCTACAGGCAACATTACCATAAGGTACCCTGTGTGTCCCACCCTCCACACACACACATTAGTATCAATGTGTTGCCATGACGACGTTCTGGGATTTCCACTTCGCACTGAGAAACAATTAACTTAGAATTGATTCATTTAAATAAACTTTGGAAGCATGTTTTGAATACACAGTAAGGGGCCTGATAGAGGGGAAACGCTGCTCGTAATATTGCGTGTCTTGTATAACCTGTTATCGTGGGAGACGAACAAGTGAGCAAACAAAGTCAAAGAAAAACTATATCCTTGAGAGTTCTTTGAAGATCGCATCGATAACCAGTTTTTTTTTTATTGTTTTGATGGAGCTCCAGAACCCTGTGTGTGTGTGTGTGTGTGTGTGTCTTGTTATGAACACCTGTGTGTCTTGCTGTGTAGACGTGTGTGTGTTTTGCTGTGTACACCTGTGTGTCTTGCTGTGTACACCTGTGTGTCCTGCTGTGTACACCTGTGTGTCCTGCTGTGTACACGTGTAGCTGGCGTGACTAGAGTGTACGAAATATTTCTAGAGCTTCATAGAAGTACTGGAGTTTATATTCTCTCTTTCTTGTTTTAATTCGTATTGTGTAGTTTTTGTTAGAATCTAAATACATCGAGCAGTTTGTTTCGTGTTTTTTTCCCCCCTCAGGGTACTTTTCTTGTGTTCATGTTGCTGTATGTGTGACTTCTAGAGTCCTTGTCTTTGTTAATGTCTTTGTTAATGATTATATTACCATCTACTTTGTCTTTGTTGGTGGGACTGCCAGGTAAACTTACTATCAGACTTAGTGTCTTTATTCTTCGTCAATTCAAGAATTAGAATTCTCGTAGTCGGGGACAGGAAGCCTGAATTGAGGCTAACCGAGTCCAGCTACTGACCATCTCCAGGATGCAACCCACAATAGCTGCCTAACTCAGGGTACCAATTTCACTCCATAGATGAGCAGACATCAGTTGAAAGAAAACGTGCCCATTCGTTTCTGTCCTGCCCTGGGGGATTGAACTCGGGTCTCTCTGGGTTGTGAGCGGAGGACACACACATCACTGCCTCTGAAGCTCTCAGTTCTAGACGTGAAGCTTTACCCTTCTATTAGTCACTGAAGGATTCTATGCATGTAACTGTATGGGAGAATTCTGCTCTTCGATTTCTTCTCTTCTCTCAAGGTGGAGAGAACCACCTGGCCAGCCTTTGTCTGTGCACCACTGCTGAAGCAGGTGGCACAGATCAAAGTACCTCTCCACCACCTGGCCAGCCTTTGTCTGTGCACCACTGCTGAAGCAGGTGGCACAGATCAAAGTACCTCTCCACCACCTGGCCATCCTTTGTCTGTGCACCACTACTGAAGCAGGTGGCACAGATCAAAGTACCTCTCCACCACCTGGCCAGTCTTTGTCTGTGCACCACTGCTGAAGCAGGTGGCACAGATCAAAGTACCTTTCCACCATCTGGCCATCCTTTGTCTGTGCACCACTACTGAAGCAGGTGGCACAGATCAAAGTACCTTTCCACCATCTGGCCATCCTTTGTCTGTGCACCACTACTGAAGCAGGTGGCACAGATCAAAGTACCTTTCCACCATCTGGCCATCCTTTGTCTGTGCACCACTACTGAAGCAGGTGGCACAGATCAAAGTACCTCTCCACCACCTGACCATCCTTTGTCTGTGCATCACTGCTGAAGCAGGTGGCACAGATCAAAGTACCTCTCCACCACCTGGCCAGCCTTTGTCTGTGCACCACTACTGAAGCAGGTGGCACAGATCAAAGTACCTTTCCACCATCTGGCCATCCTTTGTCTGTGCACCACTACTGAAGCAGGTCGCACAGATCAAAGTACCTCTCCACCACCTGGCCAGCCTTTGTCTGTGCACCACTGCTGAAGCAGGTGGCACAGATCAAAGTACCTCTCCACCACCTGGCCAGCCTACGTTTGCGGTGCTTGAAGTCACCTTGACTTCTTGCTCAGTCCTGTTTTTCTGCCTCGAGTGATTACTGGGGCTTACCACCACTTTATTTTTTTTGCAAGTTGTAGCATTTGGTTTTTTTCCATGGTCAGGTGTGGCTGGTTATTATCGGGGTGAGGGTCAGAGGGGCTGTGTTAGCGTCAGTTGTCGCCGTGGTAAAAATTATGTTATTAATAACACTACTGCTAATACTCCTTACGCTATTATTTCTACTACTACTACTGCTGCTACTACTACTAATACTTATACTAATAATACTATTACTACTACTGTAACTATACTTATACTCCCACAAATACTTCTAAGGTCTAGTGCTGGGAAGAATATTGTCCCTGGTATACATAAATTACATTGGGGACGAAATAGATTTTTGTGTGTTTGCTGATGACACAACTCATGCTGCTGATGAGGTGAAGTAAGACGTCCGAGGGACAACAGGAGGCTGTAGGTAGATTTGCATAAGTTGCAGTCATGTGTGGACAAATGGTTAATGGACTTCATTCCAGGTAAGTGCACGGTCATGAGGAGAGGAATAGAAGTGATCAAGCCAGAGAAATAATACATAATGGAATGGAGAAACTTAGATCAATCACGGTTAATGATTCCAAAGCATCTTAGGAGGGGGGGGGGGGGGGAGGGGGGTAGACATAAAATCGAACGACTATTTTGGGTATACTTAAATATAATCACATTATCAGTATATGCTAAGCTGGCGAATTTCAGGATATTCTTCATAAACTTTCAACACTGTACGCAGTTTAAGCTTGACTAAGGTTATATAACTGGCCGTACCACCACAAAGTCTATCCTTAAAAAACACGAAGATTAAGAAAGCACAGATACTGTAAAAAATAAAAAAGTAGGTGGGGACTTAATCCAGACATAGAAAATACTTAGAGATAGATATAGACTGTTTAAACTGAGCGATAACATTACCAGAAGACATCAAGGCACGCATGTGAGCCGTAGGAACAAGACACTATGCCTCGTCAGTCAAAGGGCAGAAAGGAAATTGAATGAACTAGAAAAGTAAACCGTAGAGGCTACCTTCACTTATAAATTAAAAACAAGAAATAACAATAAACCAAGAGGTCAGGAGTCATGGCATAGAGGCACCAGACATCCAGCAGTTGCGAAGTGGGACGCCGCTACACACCTGCACAATGTGTGTTGTGGCGTACATGTGGCACGCCTGTGTCCCGTACAGCGGCCCTCGACCACTCTTGGCATTGGAATGAGGAAGTCGTGGGCTTCGGACCCGCCGGATGGTGACGATACAGTACCCATAAGCCGATTAAGAAACCCGTTTATAATTTATTTCTCTTATGTACAGTCTGGAAAACATTGGTTTATACATTTCAAATCTTCTGTTTTGTATATTGAGGAAGAGAAGCAGCCTGTGCCCTCTTAAGGTAGGGCAGCAGACGACCGCTTTGTGTCAGTAATATAAACTGAGAATGTAATTATTCTCTGTGATGGATTGTCTGGGAACTGCACATTGTTGTTGAAAGTTTTTAATTTATGTAACTTTTTGAGATATACAAACTATACAGTGAGAGAGATTCAGAAGGTAATCAACTCTTCACTCTCTCTCTCTCTCTCTCTCTCTCTCTCTCTCTCTCTCTCTCTCTCTCTCTCTCTCTCTCTCTCTCTCTCTCTCTCTCTCTCTCTCTCTCTCTCTCTCTCTCTCTCTCTCTCTCTCTCTCTCTCTCTCTCTCTCTCTCTCTCTCTCTCTCTCTCTCTCTCTCTCTCTCTCTCTCTCTCTCTCTCTCTCTCTCTCTCTCTCTCTCTCTCTCTCTCTCTCTCTCTCTCTCTCCTCTCTCTCTCTCTCTCTCTCTCTCTCTCTCTCTCTCTCTCTCTCTCTCTCTCTCTCTCTCTCTCTCTCTCTCTCTCTCTCTCTCTCTCTCTCTCTCTCTCTCTCTCTCTCTCTCTCTCTCTCTCTCTCTCTCTCTCTCTCTCTCTCTCTCTCTCTCTCTCTCTCTCTCTCTCTCTCTCTCTCTCTCTCTCTCTCTCTCTCTCTCTCTCTCTCTCTCTCTCTCTCTCTCTCTCTCTCTCTCTCTCTCTCTCTCTCTCTCTCTCTCTCTCTCTCTCTCTCTCTCTCTCTCTCTCTCTCTCTCTCTCTCTCTCTCTCTCTCTCTCTCTCTCTCTCTCTCTCTCTCTCTCTCTCTCTCTCTCTCTCTCTCTCTCTCTCTCTCTCTCTCTCTCTCTCTCTCTCTCTCTCTCTCTCTCTCACAGCACAAAGGTGTTTTATATCCATAAAAGGAGAAACAAAACTAGTAAAAGATCACGCGATAGGGTTAAGGAGACAAGGGTAAATGTCTCACAGAAAACGACAAGGAGGTGTGTGAGAAACTCAACAAAAGATTTCAGGACGTCTTTACCAAGGAACCAACGTGGAGACTAGAGCTCAGTGATGAAGGGCCTAGCAAAACATTGAATGACATAGAAGAGGTTTTAAAAATCCTCTAAAGGAACTAGGTGCAAGAAAATTAATAGTGCCAGACTTAATATCACCATGACTGCTGAAGGAGTATTCTAAGATGCATTGTTTCCGGCCACTGATGTTTTCTATAAAA